CCTCCTCTATGTTCTCTTGCTCTTGCTCTTTATAAAGCTCCTCTCCAGGCTTTGCAAGGAAGCTGCTCTTCCCATTTAAGACCCTCAATCATATTTTGGCCCTTCACATATTGTGTTTTACTCTTTAATGCTTCGCCTCCCCCCGGAGGCCCCATCGCGGCCTGGAGGCCCTTTCTCCAAATAAACCTCATTCCTGAAAGAAGTCATGTATTAGCTTTCCCTTTCCCTGGACTGACTGCTGTTGTCTTATCATTATTTCTTTATTATTATATTTAACATACAACAGATGCAAAATAAAATTCTGGTGGACTTTAGAACCCCAGTGTATCTTTGTATTTTTAATTTAAAATACAGTAGAGTCTAATAAGATTACCTCATTCCTAGAGCTATTTAGTAGAGTATGACTTATGTGTTTTGGAGTCAGGTATGGGGACCCAAAAATGACAAAGAAAACATGTAGAAAGGATTCTTAAACATGATTCTTTTATAGCACCATCATTCATTTATCCTAATTTTTTTTTTTTTTTTTGGTTTTTCGAGACAGGGTTTCTCTGTGCAGCTTTGTGCCTTTCCTGGATCTCGCTCCGTAGCCCAGGCTGGCCTCGAACTTACAAAGATCCGCCTGCCTCTGTCTCCCGAGTGCTGGGATTAAAGGCGTGCGCCACCACGGCCCGGCTTCATTTATCCTAATTTTATTGCTGTTTCTTCATTCATAAACTTTTGGAAATCTTCTTCCTCCTCTCCCTGCTATCACCCCAAGCAAACTACTCAAAAACAACTTGAACAAGTCAGAGTTAGGGGGGGAAAAAAGCTACTACAATCATTAATATTAATAGATCCCTAAGTATTATTCTAAAATGTTCTATCTGAATACCTACAACAGAAAGTGCTAAGAAAGTTTGTGGTATAAGATTTTTCAAAAGGTACAGAATATCTTTCTGAAAGTAAAAATTAGTATTTTTGCATTTTAATATTGATAGTTTGGACAGTGGTTTTTCCTCTGCATGGTATATTGCCACAGTTAGTAAAGGGAGAAAAGGAGGGTCATGAATCCCTAATCCGGAATTCCAGGTACTACTCCCTCCCACAGGTGGGACATCTTAAAAGATAATAGATTATACAGAAGTGTAAGGTCAATAGAAAGCATGGCTTCATGATGCAGCTTCTAGAAGGTCACCATCCATGATGGGGGGGAACTTTGAGATGACACAGCTATTTCAGGACTCCTATAAGCAGCTCCTCACTTGTGCTGTGTAAGCAAGCCCACTAAGCTCATTGGTCTTAACAAGCTGGAAGGAAAGAGCCAACTCTATAAAGTTCTCCTCTATCCTCCATAGGCACGCAGTGTCATGTGCACATGCATACACATTCATACTAAATAAATTTAAAAATAAGTCCTACAAGAAATCAGGATTTAAGATCTCTAAAATTTGCAACAAAGTCAAATGTGACTAAAGTGAAGGCCTAGAGCACCTGTGAGTCGTAACCCCTTGGGGTCAAAAGACCTCTTCACAGGGGTTGCATACCAGATATCTTGCATATCAGATATCTGCATTATGATTCATAACAGTAGCAAAATTACTGTTATGAAGCAGCAAAAAAAATAATGTTATGGTGAATGGGGAGGGTCAACACATGGGGAACTACATTAAAGGGTTGCAGCATTAGGAAGGTTGAGAGCCAGTGACCTAGAGAGTCTGGTGGTCAGCATTTCAAACTCACTCTGAGCCATTTGAACTGAAACAATGATATTTCTATTATGATGACAAAGATAAACTATTAAGCACTTGATAGTAGAGTTTATAAAAATCAATTCATAAAGCATGACAAAGCAAGTGCTGTACCATTTCAACCTACTGGGATAATTGAGGAACGAAGCTTAAAGGACTCTCCCCGTTTAAAAGCTTACCACAGTTAAGAATCAAGCTCAGACCTGTACACGTACTTATTTATTACCCCACGTGCTGCAACGAGTTCTCCCCAGGAATCAACTGAACAGACTTTGTTATACAATGTCACTAGAATAGGAAAGTAGGTCAGGAGCTTAGAAAGCATTCTTAAATGAGTTACAATATTAAACACAGTTACTAAGTGGGTTTAAAAATTTTATAATATTCTTGACACAAAAGGAAAAGAATGGCAAGAAGGCCTGTTCACAGTCATATACTTGATGAAATATCATGCCACATCTTGATATTTACCCAATTTACATACATATGAACAAAAAACAAAGGGTAGTGAGTTGTCCAGTGCTAGGAAAGTAGAAAATACTCTCATGAACTAGCTTTATCACATTTTTAAGTATAGTGGTATCTAAAACATTGAGGACATTATACTAAGTCAAATAAACCAGGAGTGAAAGAAAGAATACTATCTAATCCCACTTATATGTGATATCTGAGTAGTCAGATTTATAGAAGCAGAGTGGAGTGTGGCTTACAAGGGTCTTAGGGAATGGAGAACTGTTTAATCAGTATAGTGTTTTAGTCTTATAAGATGTAAAAGTATGTGAAATCTTTCAATAATGTGAATATGTTCAATACTAATTACCTACACACTTAAAATGGTTCAGACGGTATTTGAAAAAGGTTTCAGGAATAACATACTAATAGATACACAGGAGCAAGAATGTATCTCACTGACAAACTCGGTGAGGCTCTCAGTGTAATCCACAGAACTAACAAAATAACCAACAAACTAAGATATCGGCCAGAACAGTCTTTTTGTATAGTCCAATAAAATAGTCAGCAGCCACCAGTGAATACTAAAATTCATGTTCATCTGAAAGTTGAGAATTTCCTCCCTTATGTAGCTAGATTCACTTCAGAACTAAACAACAAATGCAACAGACACAAAACGTTTTCACACTCACAGCAACTTCTCTTAGGACAGGTTCACAGTGTGCATCATAACACTCATACCAACGGATTCAATTCAAAACTGTACGTGATACAGGTGGCATTTCAAATCAGTAAGTTAAGAATTACCAAATAAAAAGTGTTGACTAGTTATTAGGACCAAGGAAATAAAACTAAACATACATTAACAACTTTCCCCACCCTTTGAGACAATGTTTCACTATAGAGCCAAACCTGGCTCAACCTTGCTATGGAAGCAAGGCTGGCTGTAAATTCCTGGCTCCACTGAGATTGTAGGTGTGCATCATTACCATGGCTAATCTACACTTCAGCTCTTATGTAGAGATTTAGGAACAAACAAACCAGATTTATCTTGTTTTGAGAGGAAAGATTCATTCAGTCTCACAGTTTCAGAAAGGTCAGTTCATCAGGACAGGGAAAACATGGTAAAGTAGAGTTCGATACAATGAGCCAGAAAGAAACACTGGGTAAATGTGGGAGGCCCTGGGCTCAATACCCAGCACCATGAGAAAAAGCTAAAAAAAAACAAAAAAAACAAAAAACCAAACAAACAAACAAAAAAAACAAACCTAAAAAGTACAGTGTGAAAATGCTAAAAGTATTAGAAAAAAGAGAGGAAAGGTTTCTATTTCTTTAATAAACTGTGAAGCATAATTCCATAGGAAAAAGAAAAATTGAGAAGTGACAAGTGATGAGAAATCAGTCTAGTTATTTCTTATTTACACTATTACGAATAATCAAAAATCAACAAATAGTATTTATTAATAAAATGCTACTGACTCTTGGACTGACTTTAAAACAAGCCAAGGGTTTTGTAAAAACCTTCCTTACCTGAGAGAGTTGGTACAGACATAAAGGAAACATGGCAGGTAAACTGAGAGCTGACAGAGCAGAAGAGTTAAGGTAGGCAGGTAAGAAAAGGTGGACAGGAACTCACTATGCTGCTCTCTCTACCTTTGTGCATGCCTGAGTTTTTCTAGTAAATTTCTTTCCCAATATGGACATTTTCTAACCCAACTAAGTATTTCCAGAATTTCACTTACACAAGGCAATGAAAACAAAGGCCTGAAAATGACCTGAGTATTTATTGGGAAAGTGGTTGAATAAATTATGATTCATTTAAATGCAGTACTGGCATATACCCATGTAAAAAAGTTCAGGATGTGATGGTACATATTTGTAATCCCAGCATTCCTAAGGAGAAATGGGAGGTGGAGATGGGATTATCACCTGGAAGCCTGTAGGCCAGGTAACCTGGAGTAGGCAATACAGCAACAAAAACAAGGAAGACCCTGCTTTGAGAAAGTGGAAAGTGAGAACTGAGCCTGCTGGCTGTTCTCTGATCTCCACATGTGCATTTTGGCAAGAGTATGTATATAACCCACTCACACACACAAATGGGCACAAATAATTAAAATTTTAAAATGGTATTCAGGAAAGAATAAGACAATAATTAAGCCATATAAACACGTTTTGTGCTCAGGTATAAGAGGGCAGATGCAGTCTTAGTAGTGGGATGGGTTTAGATAAATAGAAGAGAGATTATATAAAGATGTTAAAAGGGGCCTAGAGTGATGGATCTGCCCTTGGAGTAAATACTGCTTTTGCAGAAGAACCAAGGAGTACTTCTAACACCTATGTCAGATGGCTCAAAACCACCTGTAACTCCAGGGGATCTGACACCCTCTGTCCACTACAGTCATCTGTACTCACAGATACACACACACACACACACACACACACACACACACACACACACACACACACACACACACACAAAACAAACAAACAAACAAACAAACAAACAAACAAATAAATAAAATATTTGCAAAATGTTAACCTATGGAGATTTTTAAAAATGGAAATAGTATATTCAGTATCCCTGGAGATGGTGACTAGAAAGGATGACAGAATATGTAGGAATGAAGCTAAAAGAACACATTTAAAAAAAATAATAAATGGCAAAATCCATTTTATAAAAGTGGCAAAAAAGAATTTCAAGAAAAGCTTGACAGCTTGTAGAGCAGGACAGACTATTTCCATGCCTTGCGTCTTTTGTTTGCTTTCTGGCTTACTTTCTGGACATTAAAACAATTAAATAACAAACACTGTTTTCAGTACCTCGTTTCCTGACTCTAGCGGTCTCTTCTTCCGTGGTCCAATAGCTGCAAGAGCCGTGAGATTAGCATCTCTGTACTGGATCTGGGCAAGCTCCAGTTGCTGCAACTAGAAGATGGGGAAAAAGAAAGTCCATGTTTACACAGATGCTCAGAGAGAAAGAAAATGATCATGAAACTAGTTTCTGTACTTATTCCCAATAAAATTATAGAATAAAATAAATATTGACTCCCTTGCAGCCAAGGGCACATTCCTGATGTTGTAACCCCACTAACTCCTCCCTAATCTTTATAGGAAGAGACAGAGCTCAGGGAAGAGGAAGTGTAGACAGAAGAAGAAAAGGAAATCGGAACGGTGCTTGTTCTTTACAGAGCACAGTTCTAGTATACCGTATGCTTACAAATTACTCTCCTAATTCTCATAAACACACTGAAAGGGTATTCACTGACTGCTCACACAGACAAAAACTGCACAGTGAGGGTCTAAGAGATTAGGACAACTTCATGGAAACCACTCAAAGAAGCAGGACAACCAGTCAGTAAACAGAGACAAATGTTCTCACTGCAAACATTTACAAAGAAGACTCATGGATTTACTCTGTGTTTGTCTTCATAGCAAAAATCCTGAGTGATGTAGTTTTGTCTGGAATAGCCAAAACTATAAGGTCCAGTTTTTCAGTCTTTGGGCAACAGTACAGAAGCTAACTACAAACGGTGTCTTATGAAAAGGATTTCATCAAAGTGATTATGTGTGAAAATAGTTACGTATTTTTTAATAAAGACAAAGTAAAAATAAAATACCATTGCATAAGCCCCCTCAGCTTTTCTAGAAGAGGAAAAATGTTCAATTCTCATGAAAATCTTACTGCTACGTAAGGCAAAGTGTCGTTGAGACTGAGTGATAGTCACATGCCAACAGGATCAAGACAGTCCATCCACTAAAAAAAACTTACACTGGGAATATTCTTTAGGAAAAAAAGAAAGACCAAATGAACCAAAGTTCAAACACACTCTAAGAGAAGATCAGGATGAGAACACTGGGTCCATCTACGAGGAATGGGTCCTCTTCAAACACCAAATCAGCTCTCTCCTTCATCTTAGATTTCCTAGCTTCCTTATATTCCTGTTGAATATAAGTTATTCACTAAGGGCTTATTTATTTATTTATTTATTTATTTGTTTTTCGAGACAGGGTTTCTCTGTGTAGCTTTGCGCCTTTCCTGGATTTTACTCTGTAGCCCAGGCTGGCCTCGAACTCAGAGATCCGCCTGCCTCTGCCTCTCAAGTTCTGGGATTAAAGGCGTGCACCACCACCGTAGCAACGTAAATATATTTAGACAACAATTAATCAAAGTAAGTAAACTAAGAATTATGTTTTATTTGCTCCAAAAAATTACAGGACAGAAATCCTTTTTAAGCTGTAGGCTTTCTTATAAATAAATTGTTAGATAAGGGTTTTCAGAAGTTGTAAAACCTTTTGTTTCTGCTGGCCTTTTTAATAAAAAATAGTCAAGAGTCTGATGCTGCCACAATCTAGAACTTCTATGTACCAAAAAAAAAAAAAAAAGAAAAAAAAGAAAAAAAGACCTTCCCTATAGAGATATGGTATCTTAAAGACAGTCATAACAAATTGGGATTCTCTCCTACCCACTGCAAGAAAGGTTTTTAAACTGACCATGTAAATAACTCCTTTACACATAATGTTTTAGAAAAATTTTCAAAAAAAAAAAAAAAAGCCAAACTAACAAAAATACCTAGAAACTGACCATAGTTTTTAATTGCTTCTATAGTTCTAATACCTTCTCAAAAACAAAATAGCTTAGCCAGCACAAAGCAAAGAAACCAGACACTTACAACTGGATCAAGAGGAAGTTCTGGGCATTAATATAGATTTGGTATAACTAGTTGATGACAGCATGAAGCTCAGAAAAAAATCAGGAGGATTGCATGATTATCAATGCAGAAAAGCTAAATTATCTGTGAGAACAACTACAACAACAACCCTCGTGGCACCCACACACAAATCATGGCCAGGAGGCAAGATGGCTCATGGATGGGTAAGATGCTTGCTGCCGAGCCTGATGACCTGAGATTCGATCCTTAGGACCCACATGGTAGAACAGAGAATCAGCTTCCCAAGTTGTCTTCTGACATCCACATGTGAGCTGTGGCTTGAGAGTATGTACACACACACACACACACACACAAATAATGTAAGACAAAACAAAACAAAACAAATCTCCCCAATTCTAATGAAGGCATTCAACAAAATTGCAAGATGTAAATTCCCACACACAATAATCATCATCTACCTGAGTATCAATCAGTAAGAAACAGGTGAAAACAGACACACTGAAATGAAATACTGGGGAGTAAATCTATTATTTACAGCTATCTGTATGCTTTGAGCCACAAAATAATCACACAAGAAAAACAAATGAAGAGACATAGTAAGTTCGTGATTTGCTAAGTCAGATACAGATTTTGAAAGCTGAGGCCACAGCTCAATGGCAGAGCACCTATCTAATATCTAGTACGTGTGAGGAGGCCCTGGGTTTAATCCCCAGAACTCAACTCCCCTACCTTACACACCAGAGGATTTTCTGCAACTGACTCAAGTATCTGACATAATTCCAGTGAGTATTTCTGGTGAGTAGGGACAAACTGATTTTAAGGTTTATATGGGTGATCACATTACAATTCAAGAGGGCGCTTGCTCAGCATACATGGGAACTACTGAGCGCCGCAAAAGACAATGCAGCTGTGGGCCTCCCCAGGCTGTCAGTGGCAAAGAGAGCCCTGGAGGTCTCCTGGAGGCCGGGTGCTACGTAAGTGACGACAGAGGTCAGACCTGCTGGCAAAGACTTTAGACACTGTCTTCCCAGCTTACTAATCCACTTCCACCTTGGAAGTATTCCTTTCCATTATACACACACTAAATCTGTCCTTACCACCTGAATGTCTGACCTTATGGCCATTCAAGAAATGGAGGAGTAAGTGGACTTTCATGTATAAAATAAAGTTTAAAAACATTCACCTGGGACCTGAACTTCAAATGTTATACAAAAATTAACTGAAGGTGTAAAAAGCATAAACTTCCATAAAAAGCACAGAGAAAATATTCATGAGTTGGGAGTCTAGCAAAGACTTAGATATAGCATATCTATCCATAAAAGCATTGACAAACCAATCTCCATCAAAATTAAAGTCTTCTGATCTGGGATAGATACATTTAAGAAAATGAAATGCTAGTTTTATGTCAACTTTACGAAAGCTTAAGTCATTTAATTCCCCCCGCTAGACTGGCCTGTGGTGCACTTCCTTAACTGATGATTGATGTGGAAGGCCCAACTCACTATGGGTAGTGCTACCCCTGGCCTGGTGGTCCTGGGTGCTATAAAAAAGTTTGCTGAGCAAGTCAGTATGTAGCGATCCTCCACAGCCTCTGCTTCAGTTCCGACATCCGGTTTCCTATCTTGAGCTCCTACCTAAAATTCCCTTCATGATGGGATGTGATTGGGATGTATAAGCTTAAAGAAACCCTTTCCTCCCCAAGCTGCTGCTTATAGTCCTGGTCTTAATAACAGCAATGAAAACCCTAACTAAGACAGAAACTGGAACCAGGTTTTGTTTTTAATAGGCATTGCTATGACAGATCTGACCGTGTATTTTAGGGAAGATTGTAAAAGGACTTTGGAACTTTGGACTGGAAAAGCCAATGAAAACTTCAGCTTCATGGGCTGTTGTTGTAGCAGCTGGGAAGATAAGAATGCAGAGAGCGCTGCAGATGATGGAGGCCTGGCTTGTCAAGTTTCAGAGGAAGTAAAGACTGCTGGGATCATTTATGTGCCATTCTGAAAGAATCTGTAGTTCTGGTCAGCAGGGCTGAAGAATCAGCCATGATTAACAAGAGACCAGCACCACTGAAGAGTGTAAATCTGGGATGTGTTTACTCAGGGACAGCACAGGGAAGCTGTGATCCACTGGCGGCTGAGGCTGTATCTCATGCTGGCAGCCAAACTTGGTAATGTGTAAGAATCACTCAGACGGTCCAGGTGTAGTGGCCCATGTCTTTAATCCCAGCACTGGAGAGAGAAAGGCAGATGGATTTCTGTGAGTTTGAGGCTAACCTGATCTACAGGTTGTTGATCTACAGTGAGTTCCAGGAAAGCCAGAGCTACATATCTTGTCTAAACACACACACACACACACACACACACACACACACACACACACAGGGATGGAGGGGAGAGAAAGTGAGGGAAAGATGGAGAGAGGGAGGGAGAGAGGAAGAGAGAGAGAAGAATATTACTCAAATGGCACTGGTTTTGAAGGCATGAAGGATCATGGAGAGTAGCTAAGGCTTGTAAGGCTTGGCACTATGTGGCAGGTATAGAGTTCCTGAAGAGAGGCTCCTGGGGAAGGTAAAGTCCAGTCGCAGACACCCCAGCACTTAGGAGATGCCAGTACCATGGGACAATCACCCAGGAGATCTGCAGCTGGGAGTGGAGCTGCTCTGAACCTGTAAGACAAGCTGCATGTGCTATGAACGCCAGAACTAGAGAAGTGTGACTAGGTTTTAAATACCAGACATTTGACAGTGAGTAATTTACCTGGCTACAGTTTAGTTTTGCTATAATCTGATTGTGCGTGTGCCCTGGTTCTTCCCTCTTGGAATAAGAAGGTATGTAACTTTTTTTTTTTTTTTAAATAGGCACCCACAGTTGATAGACTCTGAAGTTAGAGAGATTTTGGGATTTTAGAGAGACTTTGGATATTCAGAGAACACTGGATTTTTTTTTGTAAAGAAAGATGTTCAACGTTTTAGAGAACTTTGAACTCTGAAAGAGACTTTGGATGTTTTAAAGAGACAGAACTTTAAAGTGTTTGAATTTTTAAGGACAAACTTTAAAAGCTCTCGGAATATACTTTATATTGTGATATTAATATGACATCTTGGGAACAACAAGACAAAAAAGGTTATGGTTTACCAGTGATGAAGTTGTGTGTCAAGCTGACAAGGAGTTAAGTATATTCGCTAGTTTATGTCAGTTTGGCAGAAGCTGTAGTTATTGGGGAAGAGAGAACCTTAATTCAGAAAATGCCCCA